GGTCTGGTCGGATTGGGTCTCCGCATCGGGGCGGGGGCGGGGGCCGGGGCAGGGGCCAGGGGCGAGGCAGGGAGGCGACACGGGTTCAGAGGTTAGCAGGGAAGTACCAACTCGATTCCAAGGGGTGTGTGGTGCTGTCGGTGGTTTTGGCGGTGCTGGTGCATACCCCGACAAGCTTGCGATTGCTGAACGCGGGATAGACGTTCTGATGTGCGGGAGCACCTCCTTCCTGCCCTTTGCTCGGCCACCAAACCCATCCAATGCTTGTATACTTCGCCATGTGAATTCCTGGTTGCTTGCCGTCTGACGGGTACCCGTCTGGCTGGACATCTAGACGCGTATGCTTCCAACCACTCATCACTCGATCCTAGAACTCCAATACCACACCTTCTGACAATTGCCTGTTCATTAGCCATTCCACTCGTTCGTCTGCTTCACGTAGCCCTTGCGGGACCTCCTTCCATACGTCGTGCCCCAGAAAACTTAGAAAACAGACCCACGCTGCAAACGGACACGGATCCAAAAACTCACAATCTGTTTGAAAACGTGGTAGTGTAGGGGTAGCCGTGATAATTCTGCGAACAAAATGTGGTGCGCTGTTTGGCAGCTCCCACCACTTGCCGCACGAACGACACCTGAAGCTTCACGGCGTCATCTTTCAGACATGCCTCGAAGGCCCCCTCCGCAAGGTTACTCGCATAACTCCGCCTCCTGAGCCTGTCCAAGACCTCAGCTAGCACAAAGGGTCCCCACACTTGATACCCATACAACAGCATTGCTCGTACCTAACTGCGTATCAAACCATTTACATCTGTGGCAGCCACAGGGTACCAGTACACCGTACTGGTGCGATTGCTAAGAAGGACGATCATATCCATAACATCATAATCCCACACGCTACAACAACCCCCAACCCACCCTGGAGCGCCTCCGTGACTTCATCCATTCCTGGTTGAACAACATGCATGTCACCACACAGAGTACCGCACTCAGCGACCCGCATCGCACTTAGGGTTGAGCAGATGATGTGATGCAGCTTGCATTTAGAAGCCTGTACCGTGCTTGTGATGTAAATGTGTATGCCGGCAGTGGAGGCTTGTGTTGATCAATGATGCAGCACTTATTGCCGCAATGGCCGGGCGGCGGTGGGCTACTGTGTTCTTCGGTAATGTTGTGGTCCGAGGGAGCAGCCGAGGGTTTAGCGGAACCTTCTGATGAAGCATTCAGGTTCTGTTGGCTTTCAGGCGGGGGGAGCTTGTTCCAGTTCGCAAATGTAGTCCGAGTGCATGGATAGAGTGCGAGTGCAATTGTTGGACTACATGGTATCCTGCGCGTGTATAGTTTACTCGGTGGTCTTGACGACTCCCCTTTACAGGTCGTGTCTGTTCCGCTACTCCGGGCGCCCCTTTGACCCCGATCTTAACCTCTCGGCTTTGATGACAACGTCATGCAAAATACTTGAAATCCCTGTAGCCAAGCCATGATCCTTTCGTGAGCAAGTATGGCATGGCCGCACGCATAACCAGTAACTTATTAGGTAAAAGCATTACGACTTCTGACTCGACGCAGTTCATGTTGCCTCTGCTATGCGATTTTTCTGTTTGGTACGGACAGATACAATTTATAAACTCTGCACTGGCTGTCATTGGGCATCTCTGGTTGTCCGGGGAGCGACGCAAAGGCAACCCTTTACACGCATTCCAAGCTCTCTGTTTTACTGGTAAACTAACCACCAGAGCGGGTTCATGCGACATCTTGTGCGGACGGACGGACGGAAGCAATGGCTCACAACCGCGACTCCGCAAAACTGTCTGGCAACACAAAATTCTATAGATCTGGACTCCTGGAGAAACTTTATCGTAATCCACAATAATCTGCTGAGAAAAGGTAGCTCCACTACTTCCCTAGCTTTTAAGGCGACCAGGCTTAACATGTTTCTTGATAATGTGTTATTCAGTTAAACTCTAAAGACGACAGGCTTAATATGTATACAACGTAGAAGGCATTCTGCAAGCCAGCAGTCTTGCGTGTCAGGGGGTTAACCTCTTGAGACTCTGCAGGTAGTACGCAAGGGCAAGGGCAACCAAGAACCAACAGTTTCTATTAGGGGAGGATTAGGTGATAAATGTTGGATACCGACAGTATAAGTTTGGTGGCCTACTTCAGGTTGTACGGAACCCAAAACGAGCTTGACAGCTGTAACACCAGCCCATGGTTATTTCGAAGTACCTGCCTCACCACACCTTATCACGCTCTTCTTTATGATCCACAAGGGCAGGTGACAGCTTGTTGCCTCATACTGTACCTGAGGGCCTCCTCGCAGTCCCAGCGCAGCACTTTGGTCTGTAGTGTAGACCTGATGTTGGTTGGAGGCCACCTGCATTTTACCTGCCTAACGAGATTCACGGGACCATCGATTCTGCTGTGGAGTTGCGACGAGCTTGCGGTATGTGCAAAATGTGCAAAATGGCCGCCACCTTGTAATCCCGTCAGAGTGATACGTTGCAAATGAAACCAATTATCTTTACGCAGGACTGTTGATGCTTCATGCAGAGCGGCGTGACATAGGTGCGAGGACATGTCGCCTGCCGAAGCCGACAGGAATGCGAAGTCTTCAGGAATAATCTTAATTCCTAGAGGTTAGTTTCTTGGGTGTGCATTTGATCTGCAAAATCTTAGGAACTTCACAGGATTGTCCGACCTTTGCTCGCGCAACGGCCTGCCGCGGGGCCAAGTGAAAGCAAGCTAATGTTACTATCGAATCTACTAATGCTACTACATTCTTGCGTTCTGCTTCCACATTCCGTGGACGTTTTTACGTTTACGTTTACGTTTACAAGCTTCAAGCTTGTACGGTCCAGACGAGCCAAAAGGCTCATGAACCGCCAAACTGGAAACAGGAACTCAACTTCCGTGGACACTAACAGCTAGGTAGTCGAACAGTTTCAACCGTTCCGAACACTAATCCGAAGTCCCGTTCGCCTCCACAGGCATTGCCGAATCGAACAATTTGATCAAGCCCATCCCATAAGACCTTTCAACGACAAGATCTAAAGACACTCTGCAGCAAGAGCCCTTGCCTCTGGAACCTCCGCCGCCACCACAACCAGCGACCCACGTCATCATTATCGCTAGAAAATGGTGGGTGGTTGCGACCTGTTTAAGTTAAAGTTAAATTATGACATGGTGCAAGTGGATAGTTGAGTGTTCGACCGAGGATTGGTTGACGTGCATGGGACGAAGAGCACCGATTCTCCGTACCTTAGGTTATTAGCTGTGTTTGTCTATTTACAAGTACAAGTGCTTCCATTGATCAACCATAATCAACCGTTTCTCCGCAACGGCCCGCATGGGATCGGTATAACGCATCTGGCTGGACTATCCAATATTGTCAATGTTATATAATTAAATAAATATATGGACAACACAGAGATCTACTAGGATAAGTTTTATTTCTATCTGGTCCCGAATTGTTAACCCAATTATTTTTTTAGTAAGATACCGTAGTCTTACTTATACGCGACGTTACAAACTGTGACGGGCCTGGCCGAGAGGGGTCTGACATTTCTTCGGTTTAAAAACGAATGGCGGCCAAAATATCCGAAAGTATGGTCCACATTTCTCCGTTACAATATGAATGGCGGTCGTCGCGGCCCACCGCGAGCAAAAGCTGCCAACTTCACCTGCTTCACAGGCACCGTCAGTCGGCGGTTTATTTCCTCCTTATCCATCTTGCAACATGTCAACAACTATATTTTTCTAAAGAATTATACTATCTTCGTCGGTCCCATGACCTTTAATGGCAGATTAAGCCCGGAACCATCGTACATGGCTCCACATAAACTTGCACTGACAAACCGATGGCGACGCCCTAGGGCCAAAAGCTGGTCCGGATTTCTACACTTTTTGAATGGCGAAAATCGCCATTATTTTGTAACGTCGCGTATAAGTAAGACTACGGTACGATCGGTTTTTTGCAATACAGAATTATCACCTTATTAGTTTTGTTTTCTAAAACTATGAACATTTTTTGTTTTTAGTGCGAAGAAGTTAATAAAAAGCTAAATTGTTACGGCGATTAGTAACCTTTGGTTAGGCCCGCCGGCCGGGCCGGGTACGACAGCCTTTGCGACCGGGCACCGGATCCACCGCAAATTTCCGACCGTAACGGTGCTGCCCGACGCCCCAACCACGTCCTAGTGATAAAATATGACCGGAGCTACCAGGCCGACGCGCGCGTGTTTGTGTATGATTGGGTTGCTTTGAGACTCATTGACACACACACACACACACAAATACACACAAATACACACAAATACACACAAATACACACAAATACATACAAATACACAGACACACACACGGGCGCGCGCGCGCAAATGAAGACAATATTTTTTGTTTATTGGAGTTAGAAGTGTTGAACAGTCCGTAGTCGTGAACACCTCACAGTCCGTAACATGAAGACCTGACGTTTTGATGACAAAAGGGTAACAAAAGCAATGATGAGAAGTTCTGTCTGTGGCTCTGGTGCCGACGGGGCAAGTCTGTTGTGGGCGGCTGCAGCGGGGGGACTGGAGCCATGGATACTGTTAGGAAGCTCACGCCCGAAAGTGAGGAATCGGACTGTTTCTGACCGGACCAAACGCTGCAAAACATTCGGACCCGAAGCTCCCAAAACATTGAAGGCCATTAAATCAGATACTAAATTTCACTGAAGCCATTAGCGACGTTAATGAAGACGGTGTAGGGGTCGTAGGCAATGTGGACGCAATGCTGCAGCCAGCCGACGACAATGACGCCACTCCGGTTGTCAACAGCGAGCGGGCCAAACATCAATGTTCCTCATATGGATACAATCGCGATGGGCCAGGAAACAGGTTGCGTTTGGTGGTTCCGGTTCATTGCTGCTGTGCATCTTCTGCAACCTGGAAAGTCGTGTAGTGTTATCTTTCAACGTGATGCAAGACGGACGATGGTGAACGAACTCTATTCGATCAGTGCTTGAGAGATTGGTGTGCGCGTGTTGCGACATTCCCCAAACCCGGCGTTTGCACGAACTAAACTGTAACTCATTGGAGGGGGGGGGTCGGGGGGGGGTCTGGGGGGGGCGGAGCCCCACCCAGCGCCTTACAGATTCGGAATACCGTTATTCCCGCGACTAAAAATCTATTCCTCCGTTCGAAAATTAACCAGAAATGAAAAAAAAACACAGCGGTGGCAGGCAGCCCGAACGTGCGCGTGTTTGTGTATAATTGGGTTGACAAAAGGGTAACAAAAACAATGATGAGAAGTTCTGTCTGTGGCTCTGGTGCCGACGGGGCAAGTCTGTTGTGGGCGGCCGCAGCGGGGACTCGCGACGGTGGCAGGCAGCCCGAACGTCAGCAGGGTCCGATTGTACAAGACAATTACTTGAGCTGTGGTCGTCTTCCCCACCATACACCCCCCGGCACTAAGCCTAACTACAGACAAGTTGCGTTACCCGACGTCGTTGTCAGGCGATGATGCGTCTTGACTATACAGACCCGTGACGTATGGGGATGAAAGTTCAGGCGAGGCCCTAGTCCACACATCCACCGCGTTACGCCGGATTTCTCGCCACCCCGCTCCCCTACGCCTCCCCCCCCGCGTTACCTTAATCTCCCCTTCGGTAACCCTTTGGTGTCCCGAATACTAAATATTATAAAATTTTATAAACTTTTCTCTCTTGATTAAGCATTTTATTTTGTTTTAAAATCTTTTTTTGTTTTTTTCGCTCTTGGTTAACGAAAACCCGAGGGATGACCCGGCGCGCATTCCCCGAAGGGGACACTAAGACTAAACGAAAATGCTAACCAAGAATACGGTAGAAACTAGAAGGAAAATGCCAAAAACTTAACACTGACTCAGGGTTCGACACTGACCTTCCTGAAACTTGCGGGCTCCCCCGTACCTCCCAAATTTTCCTTACGGAGGGGCCCCCGTACCAGGCTCCTGTACCGGCCGAAAACCTTACGGGGGCCCCTGTAACCCCCGCAAAACCTTTACGGGGGCACTGTCCTTGGCTGAAACGCTGTGGAAAGTGACGCTTTGCATTTTTTGCCCTGTAAATCGTTATTTTCGTTATTTTCTCGTGAACCATTACACTCGGGGACACGGCACACTCAGTGAAAGCCAAGCGCCTTGGCCGCCGCGGCCGCTCATCCCTTCTGCTCCTCTTTCTCGTCCTCCTCATCCTCGTCCTCCTCCTCCTCATCAAAATCCTCAGGATGTTACAGACCAGAAGTTATAAAAGTATTATGAAAAGTGTAGTTAAATATTGCAATATGAATTATGTCTGCCAAGTGTGTGGCCTTATCCTTTATATGGTCAAAGGGTACTACAACCTTGCACGGCAGTCGGCAATCGGTCCGTCCTCTCCCTTACGGGGGACTTTACGGGCCTCGTACGGCCTCTTATAAATCCTTAAAATCCTTACGGGGGCCCCCGTAACCGGCCTTCGGCTGGTCCGGGGGCGGCCCCGTACGGGGGCGCTTCACGCCCCAAAATCCTTACGGGGGCCACTGTAAAGTCCTACGGGCCCGAAAAAAGGCCAAAAACTTACGGGCCCCGTACGGGGTGTCGAGCCCTGCACTGACTTAAAATGCTTAGTACGAAACCTAAAATTATGCTGGCCGAGAATACAACCTAGTGACTCATACTTCGTCTCCCTTTGTCGGGGAACGAACACTTGCGGGGGACCTTTGGCCCTTCCTTCCCCCACCAACCTCGTGGTAAAGGAGTAGCTTGTCCCCCCAGTGTTAATATGACTGGTTTGGGTAATAATGGAACCCGTCAAAGAATTAGAAACATTTGCGTGAACATCCCTCCTCGTTTCACAACTGCAAAACACACATCCTCCTTTATATTGACACCTTCCTTCGGTTTGCTGACGCAGTCTCTGCAATCTGAACGCCCCAAACCGTAATCCAATCCACTACCCCGCTTCTATATGGGATCAAACCCGCAGGATAGGCATTTGTTCTGAGTGGTGCACCAAGATGTACATCAATCTGCTGAGTTTGGGCGGCCACCCGCCACCCGCCCACGCTGTGCACGATGCTGCATGCACAAGAAGGTGGGGGGATGTAGGGGTTTAGGATTCGAATGAAGGTGCGATGGACCCTCCCATTATTTTCTCTACGGTGACCCCTTTTCGTGGTGCTGCCATTGAAAGTGTAGACTCACCTAACGGTTTACCGTTGCATGCCGTTTGCTGCTGTTCTCTTCACACTCCGACATACTCCGACGCGGTGACGAGCCAGAAACATTGATCAGCTCTCGCGAGTGCTCGTTGTCTGGACACTTGCCACGTCACGCTTCACCCGGACACTGCCTTCCTGGTACTGTGAGGAGCCGTACAGTGCCGTTTGGTGCTGTACAGCGGCCATGGGGGGTTTGGACCCAATCACGCTTTCGTCTTTTTGGTCGGATATGAGGATGAGAGCGATGATGACGGCGAGATGGAGCAGCAGCAGGGGTTAGAGTGGGCCATGATGCACAGGGTATGCTGATGCAGAGCGCAACAATGCTGCGCAACGGGGCCCTTACATTTCCTTGTCGGACTGATTGACGCGGGCCGCCTTGTCAGCTGCTGCCTCTGGAACCTCCGGCCCCAACACAACTAGCAGCCCACATCATCACCAAGGTGGTGGGTGTTTTACGGCCTTTCGGAGCTGACTATGACATGGTGTAAGTGGATCTTTGAGTGTTCGACCGGGAATTGGTTCACGAAATTATGAGGAGAGAGGAGGGCCGGGGAGGGGAGGGGGGAGGGAAGGGGAGGAGGGGGGAAGGGAAGGGGAGGAGGGGAGGCAGGGAGGGAAGACAGGTAGGAGGCAGGGAGGTAGGTAAGGTAGGAGGGCGTGTGGTTTGGTGAATGGATGAGCGGGCGGGTGGGCGAATGGATGGTGGACGGAGACAGCATTTGCGGCCGCGAACGAGCGAATGTTGCTGTCGCATGTGCGCGGCCTTCGCAGAGACATTGGCGGGGTTTTTTAACCCTGCGGCCACAAATAAACGAATGAGGCTATGATTGAATGAATGAGGCTATGATTGAATGAGGCTATGATTGAATGAGGCTATGATTGAATGAGGCTATGATTGAATGAGGCTATGATTGAATGAGGCTATGATTGAATGAGGCTATGATTGAATGAGGCTATGATTGAATGAGGCTATGAATGAGAGAGTTCCGCCGCAAAAGCTGTCTCCGTCCACCAACCTGCTCCTGCCAGCACAGCAACCAATTGAAACTGTTGGACTGTTGGCAATCGCAGTATTGGACAGTTGAACTGTTGGCAACTGTTGACCGTTGTTGACCGTTGAATTGTTGAACTGTTGAATTGTTGAATGGTTGACTGTTGGATGGTTCGTCTGTGTGCCCGCTTGTCTGTTTACCAAACCGCCTGCCTTCCTGCTTTACCTACCTACTTGTCTACCTGGCTGTCCAACTAACTGCCTCACCTTCTTCCCAACCCAACTCACCGATTCCCCAACCCAACTCACCGATTCCCCAACCCAACTCACCGATTCCCCAACCCAACTCACCGATTCCCCAACCCAACTCACCGATTCCCCAACCCAACTCACCGATTCCCCAACCCAACTCACCGATTCCCCAACCCAACTCACCGATTCCCCAACCCAACTCACCGATTCCCCAACCCAACTCACCGATTCCCCAACCCACCTCACCGATTCCCCAACCCAACTCACCGATTCCCCAACCCACCTCACCGATTCCCCAACCCAACTCACCGATTCCCCAACCCAACTCACCGATTCCCCAACCCAACTCACCGATTCCCCAACCCGACTCACCGATTCCCCAACCCAACTCACCGATTCCCCAACCCAACTCACCGATTCCCCAACCCAACTCACCGATTCCCCAACCCAACTCACCGATTCCCCAACCCGACTCACCGATTCCCCAACCCTGACTCACCGATTCCCCAACCCTGACTCACCTGCTTTTTCCGACCTGCCTAACCTGCTTTCTGACCTTACCAACCTGCCTTCCTGCTTGACCTTCTGCCTGCTTGCCTGTATAATTACCCTATGACACCGCCGTTACTGCTTCTAATTCTCCTCCATCTGCGGGCCCCCATCCCCTTGGTTGTGCGTATGAGATGGTGGAGGGAGTGCAGCTGCGATGGTGGAGGACGCTGTGAGCCACACCCGCCGCCACCGCCACACCCGCCGCCACCGCCACACCCGCCGCCACCGCCACACCCGTCGTCGATGCCGCCACGCCCGCCACCTGCGCCACCTACTTTGGAATGCCAAGCGCTCCATGACCACCACCACTACTGCTACTCTACTGCCGTCACAAGGGGCCTCAAGCGTAAGGCGTGTGTCATTAACAGCACCGGGCTTTGCCTGTGTCAAGCACTGTGTCTCACGCCCCTTACCCTTCCCCCACCAACCTCGTGGTAAAGGAGTAGCTTGTCCCCGCAGTGTTAATATGACTGGTTCGGATAATAATGGAACCCCGACGAATTAGAAACATTTCCGTGAACATCCCTCCTACCATCCCACAACTCGTTTCACAACTGCAAAACACCTTCCTTCGGTTTGCTGATGCAGTCTCTGCAATCTGAACGCCCAAAACCGTAATCCAATCCACTACCCCGCTTCTATATGGGATCGTGGCGGCGACGGTGGCGGGTGTGGCGTTGGCGGCAGGTGTGGCGGCATCGACGACGGGTGTGGTGTAATTTGCGTTGGCGGCGTTGGAGTTGTCGTTGGCGGGTGTGGCGTTGGCGGCGGGTGTGGCTGCGGTGGAGGTGGTGGCGATGGATGTGACGGTGGCGGGGACAGTGGCGGTGACGGTTGCGGCGAAGGCGGCGGGTGTGGCGGTGGCGTTGGTGTTGGCGTTGGCGGGTGTGGCGTTGGCGGGTGTGGCGTTGGCGGCGGGCGTGGCTGCGGTGGCGGCGACGGTGGCGGGTCTGGCGTTGGCGACGGGTGTGACGGCTGCAGCAGTTGAAGCAGCATCGGTGATGGGTGAGGTGGCATTTGCCTTGGAGGCGTTGGAGTTGGCGTTGGCGGGTGTGGCGTTGGCGGCGGGTGTGGTTGCGGTGGCGGAAGTGGAGGTAGTGGCGGTGGCGGCGACGGTGGCGGGTGTGGCGTTGGCGACGGGTGTGACGGCTGCGGCAAGTGCGGCAGCATCGGTGATGGGTGTGGTGGCATTTGCCTTGAGGCGTTGGAGTTGGCGTTGGCGGGTGTGGCGTTGGCGGCGGGTGTGGTTGCGGTGGCGGAAGTGGAGGTAGTGGCGGTGGCGGCGGGTGTGGCGGGTGTGGCGTTGGCGGGGGTGGGACGGCTGTGGCGAAGTGCGGCACGTTGGAGATGGGTGTGGTGGCATTTGCCTTGACGGCGTTGGAGTTGGCGTTGGCGGGTGTGGCGTTGGCGGCGGGTGTGGTTGCGGTGGCGGGACGGTGGCGGGTGTGGCGGTGGCGGCGGGTGTGGCGGGTGTGGCAAGTTGGCGGGGATGGCGGTGACGGGTGTGGTGAATTGCCGTGGCGGCGTTGGAGTCGGGTGTAGCGGAAGTGGCGTTGGCGGCGGGTGTGGCTGCAATGGCGGTGACGGTGGCTGTGTGGCGTTGGCGGCGGGTGTGGCTGCGTTGGCGGCGACGGTGGCGGGTGTGGCGTTGGCGGCGGGTGCGGCGGCTGCGGCGAGTGCGGTGGCATTGGTGACGGGTGTGGTGGAATTTGCCTTGGCGGCAGTGGAGGTGGCGTTGGCGGGTGTGGCGTTGGCGGCGGGCTTGGCTGCGGTGGCGGCGACGGTGGCGGGTGTGGCGGTGGCGGCGGGTGTGGCGGCTGCGGCAAGTGCGGCGGCTGCGGCAAATGCGGCGACATTGGTGACGGGTGTGGTGGAATTTGCCTTGGCGGCGTTGGAGTTTGCGTTGGCGGGTGTGGCGTTGGCGGCGGGCGTGGCTGCGGTGGCGGCGACGGTTGCGGGTGTGGCGGTGGCGGCGGGTGTGGCGGCTGCGGGAGGTGCGGTGGCATTGGTGACGGGTGTGGTGGAATTTGCCTTGGCGGCAGTGGAGGTGGCGTTGGCGGGTGTGGCGTTGGCGGCGGGCTTGGCTGCGGTGGCGGCGACGGTGGCGGGTGTGGCGGTGGCGGCGGGTGTGGCGGCTGCGGCAAGTGCGGCGGCTGCGGCAAATGCGGCGACATTGGTGACGGGTGTGGTGGAATTTGCCTTGGCGGCGTTGGAGTTTGCGTTGGCGGGTGTGGCGTTGGCGGCGGGCGTGGCTGCGGTGGCGGCGACGGTTGCGGGTGTGGCGGTGGCGGCGGGTGTGGCGGCTGCGGGAGGTGCGGTGGCATTGGTGACGGGTGTGGTGGAATTTGCCTTGGCAGCGTTGGAGGTGGCGTTGGCGGGTGTGGCGTTGGCGGCGGGCGTGGCTGCGGTGGCGGCGACGGTGGCGGTGGCGGTAGTGGATGTGGCGGTAGTGGCGGTGGCGGCGACGGTGGCAGGTGTGGCGTTGGCTGAGGTGGAGGTGGTGGCGATGGATGTGACGGTGGCGGTGGCGGTGTCGGCGACGGTGGCGGGTGTGGCGTTGGCGACGGGTGTGGCGGCTGCGGCAGGTGAAGCAGCATCGGTGACGGGTGAGGTGGCATTTGCCTTGGCGGCGTTGGAGTTGGCGTTGGCGGGTGTGGCGTTGGCAGCGGGTGTGGCTGCGGTGACAGTAGTGGCGGTGGCGGTGAGGCTGGCGGGTGTGGCGTTGGCGGCGGGTGTGGCTGCGGTGACGGGTGTGGCAGTGGCGGCGGGTGTGGCGGATGCGGCAGCTGCAGCGGCATCGATGACAGGTGTAGTTGCATTTGTGTGGACGGCGGTGGAGTTGGCGTTGGCGGCAGCTTCGCCTCTGGTGACGCAGCCGCCGGCGGAGCTGTCGTTATCTCTCCCCCCCTGTCCATCGAGTCACTTCAAGAGCCGCAAATGCGGCAACAGCGGCGGCGGCGTCGCCTCTGGTGATGCAGCCGCCGGCGGAGCTGTCGTTATCTCTCCCCCCCTGTCCATCGAGTCACTTCAAGTGCCGCAAATGCGGCAACAGCGGCGGCGGCGTCGCCTCTGGTGATGCAGCCGCCGGCGGAGCTGTCGTTATCTCTCCCCCCCTGTCCATCGAGTCACTTCAAGTGCCGCAAATGCGGCAACAGCGGCGGCGGCGTCGCCTCTGGTGATGCAGCCGCCGGCGGAGCTGTCGTTATCTCTTTCCCCCTGTCCATCGAGTCACTTCAAGTGCCGCAAATGCGGTAACAGCGGCGGCGGCGTCGCCTCTGGTGATGCAGCCGCCGGCGGAGCTGTCGTTATCTCTCTCCCCCTGTCCATCGAGTCACTTCAAGTGCCGCAAATGCGGCAACAGCGGCGGCGGCGTCGCCTCTGGTGATGCAGCCGCCGGCGGAGCTGTCGTTATCTCTCCCCCCCTGTCCATCGAGTCACTTCAAGTGCCGCAAATGCGGCAACAGCGGCGGCGGCGTCGCCTCTGGTGATGCAGCCGCCGGCGGAGCTGTCGTTATCTCTTTCCCCCTGTCCATCGAGTCACTTCAAGTGCCGCAAATGCGGTAACAGCGGCGGCGGCGTCGCCTCTGGTGATGCAGCCGCCGGCGGAGCTGTCGTTATCTCTCTCCCCCTGTCCATCGAGTCACTTCAAGTGCCGCAAATGCGGCAACAGCGGCGGCGGCGTCGCCTCTGGTGATGCAGCCGCCGGCGGAGCTGTCGTGATCTCTCCCCCCCTGTCCATCGAGTCACTTCAAGTGCCGCAAATGCGGCAACAGCGGCGGCGGCGTCGCCTCTGGTGATGCAGCCGCCGGCGGAGCTGTCGTTATCTCTCCCCCCCTGTCCATGGGGATCACTTCAAGTGCCGCAAATGCGGCAACAGCGGCGGCGG